CACCCCCAAAGCAAAAAAGCCTCCTAACGAAGAAAAATATGATCAAAGATAACAAAAATGGTAAGTTATCCATGCCAGAAATGAAAAATGAATCACGTAACCTTCAAGGTTAAATAGGACCATGTGATCATGGTGTAGAAATGACAATGAGAGTCCTGCATCAGTACGTGAATATATGTGCCCACCATTATGGAGAAATTGTAAAGAGAAAGACACACCTTCTGCCACATACGACGCAGAACAAGCTACCTGCCCGCCCTTGCTCCATGTATCTTCTTCGCACACCTGGGGTATCATTCAACTTTTTGGTGAAAGATAAGAAAAAATCATGTACCAGCTGCTTGAACTCCTCAGAGCCTTCATGTGGTTCTGATTTCACACCACTTGCCAAACTTTCATACTGCTCGTGTTCACCTGGGTACATGTCAACCTCTTTGTCATTTTCACTTCTTATAGACACATTCTTCCATTTGGAAACTTGATATTTTTTATTTGAATAGTTTGAACTATACCCACCCCGAGAACCAGATCTGGAATAACCTTTTGCATATTTATCATCGTATTTATACGATTTCATACGATGATCATGCATGCGTTCCTCAGGATGAGATGAGAACCATTCTTCATCTGCTTCATCATAAGCCTTGTCTACCCTTCTACTGAACCCATGGGTTTGATCCCTTCTTTTAGCAAGGTATGAACCCCTGGCATCTTGATCTATCCACTCCTCATCGCTAAATTCACGATCTTGTCTTCTAGTGACAGTATTCAATCTACTCGTGATAGTTCTAGAAGTAATCCTATTTTCTTCGTCGTCCATCGAGTATTTCCTCTTCAGAAACCTACTGGATGAGTCATATGGGGGAAGATCATGCCCTTCCCTCTTATGTGTTCTTTCAAGAAGTCTAAGCCGTTCTGTGTCGTATAAAACTCCAGGCGAACTTCTCATTCTTTCCTTCTGAGATCCTGTACCTACATCTCGTTTGTAACCATGATCTACCCTGATATGTTCTATTTCACGATCTTGTACCATACCCGTGTATGGCATTTCCTGTTCTCCTGAAATTTTCCTCCCAAGCCGCGAATGAACACTAGCAGTATCCAGATACTGCACACTTTCTCTTTTTTCAGCTGGTGATCTGCTGAAACCAATATTATTTGTGGCTGTTAGCTTCTCTAAAGAAAGATGGTCCAATGAACTTCTACTGCTCATATTCCTGCAAGCAAAATCAGAAGTTTCTGCTCGCTGTGTAGCATGGTTCAGCAAATTTGATTGCAACATATCTCTATCATTGTAGTCCACCCTCTCACTCAAATTCATCTTTTCATATACGTCATCAGATGGATATAAATAGTCCACTCTTTCACGCATTCGTGGTTGAAGACACAAAGAATCAAGATGCCCAGTTCTCGGGGAACTAAATGTCTCCCGCCGGTATCGAGCCATGTCCTCATTGATGTTGAGGTCAGGGTCTCTGCCAAGGTCCAAGCGCTGCCTTTGTTCATATCTGGAGTGAGACAGAGGGTCTGGTATGTCCGCAGGGTTCAATGGATGGTTGTGGTTGTCTCGATGCACAGGTATACCACCTCGATAGCCTAAATGATCAACCCTTGACTTTCGTGGAGATGTTCTTGCATAATCCTTGAAATGAGATGCACCGATAGATTCCTTCGACCTAGATGCTGTCAAATTGGAATAAGGAGCATCCCTTGGATGAACCATATTCTTTTCCCCATCCCCATATTGTTTCATAGCTGTGTATTTATCGAATAAATATGAGCCTTGGGCGTCAGGGTACCGAACTCTTTCTTTTCCGGGCTGACCTAAACCAATGTTCAGTGATGCCGATGGGAGATCCCTAACGCTTTCAGTTGTGGAGGTGGGTCCTACATCTCCTGTGGACCTGTACATTCCCATAACTGCTGATTTCTGACTCCCCATTTCTCGTATCCCACTATCTAGCCTCCTACCTTCAAACTTATTGTCTATTATCGCTGTTCTGGAGGAATCACGGCCATAACCAAACTCGTTCCTCGTAGGAGACTCAACGTCATCATATTTCATATCCATGTGATTGAAGAACTCATATCGTGAACGTCGTTCTGGAGTCGGCAAATCTCTATCCATAACCCAATCGTCACTGTAAAAAGGGCGTCCTCTTTTGGCCTCCATATAAGGCGGTGACCTAGAACGGATTCTTCTACCACCGTCATCCACAAGCCTCCTCCTCTCCAGGGAAGCACTCCGATGACCACCCAACACCCGTCCGGAGTATGGAGGACCTTCCATTCTGCGGGGGCTCCAACTCCCCTTCGAGTGAGGTGACATCATTAAGTAACTATCTGGATCGAGATCAGTGTTTCGACGGATCCGGCCATAAGAAGATTGACAAGCGAAATCTTCATGTCTTCGAGATTGCATATCTTAGTCCCAAAAAGAACCCCAAATGTTTTAAACCCTTAAATTTCAAATTCCCACTAATCAACTAAACGATTTATGAATGAAAACTGACGATTACTGATTTCAAACGTGTACATAAACAAAATTTCCTAAATATCCAATCGGGAACAGCGCAAAATTAAAAGTTCTAAAACATCAAAACACACTCATATACATCAATCAAATTCAAACCTTCGTGAGTTGCTTCCGAGCAGCCATGGTTGTATTAAGCGTACGATCTTCAAATAGTTTAGCTATATCATCCATTCTCCGGTAGAAAAAGTACTTTGCAGAGAACTACACCCCAATTCCCAAAGATCGTGTGTGAGCGTGTGGAAGAGGCCGATGAATTTGGGCAGCTGGGCTTTGATATACGGTTAAGATAGGGTCCGAGACCATGTGGAAAAAGGGTCGGGTAAATTCTCATTCTGCCCGGCCCATTTATAAAAGGTTTGCCACTTTGCCCTAACAAGTAACAAATAACAAATGTTGCAGGGCATCATGGCTTAAGGACAAGGTGACGTTAAATCCATATCATGTCATGGTCTAAACTCTAAATGTACACATTTAAACGTCATTTCTTAACATGTTAAATGTGAGACTTTGAACAGGGCTTCCAAAATTTTGGGGCCCAAATTTACATGTGATCAGGGTCTTTTATCGACCTGTGTAAAAATACAGCCGAAATTATTTAAGTTTAAACCATTAATTGTTTAGTTTTAGGTTCAAATCAATAATGGTTTAGGTTCAGTTTCAAATGTTAATCGTTTTAGGTTTAGCACATTTTTGTTCTTAACATATATTTTATTTTATCTCACTTATGCAATGTAATTAAAAGTTTTAGATGTAGCAGGACCTCTAAAAAGATTGAAACATCTCTGACCTTTTGTAACATGAGATTTAATTTTTTGCATTTTTAAATTATTTAATATCAAACCTGTTAAATAATAGTGTAAAATATATGTTTATATATTTAATATTATAAATGATATGAAGATTGGTCATTATATGTCACATCTAGGAAAACGTTGTATCTTTGACATGGTCCTTAAGACTTGGACTCATTGACGTAAGATGTACTATGTACACCATTTATAACCTTGCATGCTATTTATTATTATAATTATGGTTCTAATTACAGTATGCGATGAAAAAAATTGTATGACAGTTTAAAATCCAACATATTTAAATGACTCCACAAATGTGTTCAATTTACACCAAGAGCAAAAATTCAAGAGATCGAGAGCGAGACCGAGGGTTCTAGAGCATTTGAATGAGAGATGGATGAGAGACTTTTAATAACTCATTGTGAATATCAGTTTGAATCTCACATTAGGGGATATGGAGAAAACATAGAGGTATGAGATGGTGAATGCATGAGTGAAAAGTGTAAAAAATATATTGGGAACATGAAAAGAAAGGGTAATAATATGCATTGGTAACTTGCACTATATTTTAAGATATTTTAATTGCAGATTAAGATATTTTAAGACTGAATACATAAAGTAGTAGTACTTAATGCATTATGAATTGTTTTTAAGATTGTTAAGACTTTGTACATAAATATATAGTATTTTGTGCATTAAAATTTGTTTTTAAAACTTTTGATAGATCTGGTACATAAGATAGTATAAATTAAACAATACTTCATTTAATAATTATTATTACTAATTATGTATCAAATCAAAGAGTGTATTTATTAAAATAAAATAAATATTCAAGCTACTCTTTGGCAAACACATGCTTGTCAATCAGCTAATTATTACTAAGGGACCGTTTATCAAACTCTTGTTCATGTAAGTATTTATTGGTAAAATTCAACACTATTACTTACTTACCGGGTTAGATTTTGGTCACCAAAACGGTATCGTATTCGTATACAACAATTTACCCAGTAAGCGTTAACCATGGTAAAAGTCGCCGCCCTCACTTATCGGGTAAGACTCTTGGTCTTTGCCTTCATTCTTACCGGATAAGATTCTTGATTCTTGTCATATTCATCCGATAAAATAACGTGATTTAGTAAGTGCTTACTCAAGTAAGCGTTTGGTAAACGACCTCTAACTTATTAGGTATAAGATGGTTTATAAAATAACTTTCTTCAATTAATGTTTTAGTAAATATGAAAGCTTTTTCCTACTTTCTTTTAATTATGCCCAATATCCTTTTCCAATCAATTTTTTTAACATATTATTTTACATTGATATTAGCTTATCAACTAGTTTTTATCAAGAAAAACTGGTACTTTATTTGCCAAACGTAGGTTCTAAATTGTTAAAAATAATTACATGACTAACAAAAAAAAGACAAATAAGTAAGAGACGATTTACCAAATGCTTATCGGCAATAATCGCTACCCTCATCTACATTATCATTGATATTCTCTATCATCAAAATGGACTGTTGATAAGTGTCTTTTACCTGGTAAGAACTTACCGGTAAGATTTTTGGTCGTTGTCATGCCCACGCACTAAGGCAAGTGACATATGATAAGTACGTACGGTAATTGTTTGATAAACACCCCTGAATTACCATAAATGCCTTAAGCAAGTTGTTGATTTGTATTGTCTTTCTATTATCGGTCTTTTTCGCCTTTAAAAATGACATATACCATATAATTCGTATATTTTTATCTATCACGTGTTGATTGCTGACCTATATCACATGTATTTATATCTTTCCTAGCAGCCATCAACCCAAGAAAAAGACTCCATTCAAGTGTCATCACCTCTTACAAATCGAGAAAAAAAACATATGCCAAATATGCACCTATACATACAAATATATATATATATATATATATATAGTATATATGTAGTACAAATAAATCTACAGCATATATAGAAAGGGTGGCCATAACACGTTAACACCGACCTCGATATTATTTTATATCCGAAATTTAGTTGATTATGTATGTCTAATTCAAGTGTCATGTACATATTTGAATTGGACAAAAATCTTGTGTTTTTACAGTACAATGGTTTTTCTGAAAACAAATAATTAAATAAAATCAAATTCGATATTACCCGTCTTATAAGATAATAAATAAACCACATATTACCATCGAGTCAAGTTGGATTTTTGAAATTAAAACGCATCCATTTTGAAGTACAAGTTGTATCTTTGTGGTCCTTTTTCGTCTTTATAGTCTTGCGGCGGTGTAGAGCTACAGCTATAAGGAGCGTAGCTCACACACATCGGCTGATGTAGGGTGGGATAAAGTCAGTATCATGTTTTTTTTGGGCTATATAATTAATTTTTGATTTAATTATATTTTTCGTCCACATGGTTCGTTAAAAAGTTGTGAATTTCATCCTCGTGTTTTAAAAGTATTTGTACTTATGCATTGCTAACCGTTAAGTGTCTACGAGCTCTATTAACAGACTTAAAGAAACTAAAGCAATTCAAAAGCGAGAATAAGTACATACAGACACGCATTTCCATCATCCACAAGAACTATTATAATTAAGCTAAGGGAAATTCGCCAAAATGACCAACTGTCATAAACCCATGCATTTTCATCGGATTTTTGTTCTCCAAATAGTAAGCATGGGGACCTGCCATACCAAAATGTTAAATCCGCCCTACTAGGGGAAAAAGTCTGAAACAAATGGTCATTTTGGCTAATTTCTCTTAAGCTGATACCTCATGTCCTAAAACAAATGTCGTAAATGAAAAACGCACCGTGTTTTAGAAATGTATAATTACTTTACTTTTAAGAATATGAGTAATGAATTTCTCCATATCATAATTAAGGGTATGATTGGAAAATATATCGTTCCTTTTTAAAAATGAACACTTATTTTACAACAAATTTGAATAGAAATTTTGGACATTTATTGGTTGGCCACCAACTTTGGTTTTTTAAACCTAACTTGAAAGTGTGTCCTTGTGGTCCTTTGACTTCTATATCAACCTTCTTAATTCCTTTTAAATTTCCATATAGAACTCGTTTTACAAAAAAAAAAAAAAATAGATCGAGATAAAATGATTTCCGGTGTTTCATCCTGATCATCTTCGGCATGTCACATTTATGTTGGATCTTTCCGACATTCAATTACAAGTCTTGCAAGGCCGAGGGGGCATAGGTCTTTTGATGATATATGCTTTATTTGCTCAGAAGAGTATCAAAAAAATAATGTAAAACCACAAGAGTGGTGCATGATTGGTTTGAGTTTGGCTCCAAAGGTCAAAAGTACCAGGAGGTCTCAAGGTCAAATCCAAGGAGGAATAAAAATCCTCTTGTGGCCACGAATGTTCAAATGCGGTGACTCGTGACTATCTGCAAAACAGGTGGTCGCCATGTGATTAGTCGGCTCGCATAGCGAGTTGGATATCCAAGCTAATTAAAAAAAAGATAATGTAATGAGTCAGTCGATGTCATCCGTACCACACGGAATGTGCTGGAAAATTGATGAATGATTGTGAATTTAGTTGCCTTTTTTTGTTAAACGTCCATTTTTAAAAGCAACGTCCACTACTCATTTCTGGATTAAATAGCATTCAGAAAGTGGTTTAATTCTTGATTGAACATCTATCGATATTTTTTTGTAATTTATTGTACTTATTTGTTTAAAAAAAACGTTATATCTTTCATAATCCGTATGCTTTATTGTACTGAGCATAATAAGATAACACAAACATCATATCTAATATGGTTTAAGATTTCCATCATGTGATTCTAAAAACAAACTAATATGTCAAAAGAAATGTTAATTCAAAGGACCATCGAATTCACAAATATTAGACTCGGTGTTCTTTGTTACATCACGTAACTGGTTGCAAATCATAGACTAGCTCGAATCTCAGTCCCCGGACGACCCTTATCCGGCACAACGAGCTATTAGGCATCCAAACGTAATTCGTTCAGTGTACAGTCATAAAGCTATTTCACTGTAAAGTGGAAAACAACATTCAAATGAAACGAAAGTTAATTAACCAACAGCGTATTGTAATTGTTAAACTTACTTGGTTTCTTAACCAAAACCAATTGGATACGACAGTACTTAATCTCACTGTTTAACCAGATAAGATTCATTTATTCGGTAATTCCCCTAATTATTATATTTGAACTTTCATTTTTTAAAGGAAAATTCTATTAAGAAAAAGGGAAAACAAAAAAAGGCGTTGAAGGAGATATTCGAGAAACAGATAAACGCTCGAAACCAAAACAAAAGAGGACTAGGAACAGACAAAAATCAACATCAGACTACAACCAAAGCGAGGATGAAAGCTGGAAGAAGAGCACTCAAATGACCGCCACAAAAGATCGAAGCTTAAATCGACCCCTCTAAAGACCAGAGAGTTTCTAAATACATATATTTATTTCTTATAATCAAATAGTATCA